CCAACCCCACTGTCCCAGCACTGAGGAGACACCTGAACTAAACCTTAAACTGCTCTCTCTTCTCTGCCTTCTCCTCTGGTGCTACTCACCGTTCCTGACCCACACTTACCATTCACACGTCTTCATGCCTTTACCACAGTTCCCCTTTGTAATCACCATCACCTTACAGTATGTGACGGAAAACAAAAACAACTAACTGCCTTTGTGCTCTTTTCCGTTGCGAGGACTTTGAATTCAAAGCAGGAACATTTTGTTTCTCTTCGTGTACACGACAATGATCCTTGGCTAACGGAGGCGTTAACCAAATATGACGAGAGATGAAGTCAAGCTGGAATTATAAAGAAAGTGAGAGCACCACTTTAGAGTAGTCCAGTGAAAAACAAGAGCACACAAGAAGCCTCCTATTACTGTAAACAAGGACTGTGCTGCAGTCGGTGCCCATTTGCGGCACCTGTAAGAAGCCCACTGCTTATCACCGCCAAGGCCATATAGCCTAGTCTGCTGTCTTAACCAACACAGCGTCTTTGTAGTATGTATGTAACTCACAGATGTAGTGTGTATGTCTGTGTGCGCCTGTGTCGACCGAGAGTTTAAAGACCCATGACAGAGCATGAGATCTTTGTGTTTGGTAGGTGTGATTCAGTTTCTCTGTTCATGGTCTATCGACCCTTACGATGTCTGTTCCTTTGGGTGAACCGTTGCTCTGTTGTTTGTAGAAAATGTACAGTAGATAAATTAAGTATTATTGTGGGATTTTAGACATTATTTCCAGCTCATAACATCCCCCCGGCACGTATGTTTGGCACTTGAAATGAAAATGTTCAGTGCCGACCAGACGTGACCAGGGATCAACCCCAAAGGGGGTCCATGCACATTCCCACAGTTGCATTCTATCACTTTGATTCAAGGCACTTTACACCGTGTATGACACAATCATTTTATTTTCCTCATTAGTCAACGCGCAGGTTTGGAGGTTATTGATGGTTTAGCTCTCCTTGTGACCGAGAGGAAGAACTGGAGGGAGCAGGGATGATGACGAAAAGTTAGATGACTCAAGTGTTCCCTGTGTTGTCTTTTGTCCGTGTCTTTGAGCCCTCTTACTCTTTCATCTGCCTTTGATCAGCTGCTGGTCCAGCCAAGACTCTGATATCCCTCTCTTACTGCACAGACACAGACCTGCCACTAGCTAGCCTTTGAGCTCAACCTCATTGGTGCAAACATCTCATTACATTTTCTAACAGATGATTTTGAAAATGCAGCGGACTCATTGGCTATTGTGGTGCTGTTTTTAAAGGGAAGGCTCAGCAGTGCGAAGCAGATTTTCTCTTAATTATCTGAGCTGTGAGGTGTGATGAGTGGGAGGGCAGAGGATACCAACTCTAAACCAAATGTTTATTTTAGTGGATTGTTTGTAAAATACTGTTGATTGTTCTATTGTATAATTAGATGGAGGACACTGCATGCAAGAATGAAGAGACTGATTTTGATGCAAGGGAATATTTTTTGTTTCATAGACCGCAGTGAGAAGCTTTTCTTTTTTTTCTTCACTGGGCTGAGCGTTAAAGTTGCAACGCAGCAGGGTGGACTTAAAAAAAAAAAAAAAAAACTGCTGAAATCCATCTCAGATGTGTCTTGATGAAATCATACTGAAATAATGGGACCTGTGGACTTTTCAAAACCTGAATCTAATTGAGAAATTGTTTGCGAACCTTTTTGTAAGGGCTTAGGAAGCTTTTTCCATTCCAGCCAAGTAATCTGTAGTCTACTGAACACTGTGATGAGACAGATGGATGGTTTGAAGTGATGAAGGGATACGCAGTGATTAACAGCACTTCTTGTAAGGCTGGTCAAGGTTTGTGTGTTGTAAGACCTGGGTTTGATAGTATTTGAAAGTAGTAGCATTTATATTAAGTTGAGGGAAGTTTTGCATATCAGGACAGTTCGTATAATGGCACACACTGTCAATAATAGAAGTGTGCCAAATGTTAGAACTATGAAATGCTCAATGATATAGTTTATAGTAAATACAGTTTTTGTTTACACTCAGACGCACGCTCACAAAACTTGAGCAACTCATTCTTGTCCTTGGAAATAGTCTGGGTTATGTTTTTTTTGTGTGTCAAAGTACTGTTATAGTGACTCTGATCTCTATTTAAATGGTTGTTTTTTATGACCACAGTTTATGGAGATCTGTTGGTTTTTTGAGATGTATTTAGCTTAAATGTAACCTCCTTTGGGGGAGATTATTCTATGCAAATACTGTGAAACCCAGGTATTAATCCCACCGATACTGGCTTGGCTAATGTTAAATATAGGGATTCACCGATCCAACTTTATCCTTCTTAACTCAGGGTATCTGCCGAAGTCCCGATCCGATACCAATGCCCTCTTTTTCCCCACGTTTAAAACCTGTACACCTCACTGTGTGGAACTCATTACAATCATTTCTATGTACTGTAAAAGTCAGCAGCCTGTCATGACATTAAACTGAAACATATAATGAAATTGACAGTGAAACTGTAGTTAATGTGGCGTCATGGCTGATACCTGATCCATTTGCTAAAGTGTTTGGGTCGGTGCATGCCTACTTGGACCGTGTGGATATGTCTTTCTTTGCCTCTAAAGACTTTTCATCCTGTATTGTTCAAACCACAAATCACTGTTGCCATCTGCTGTCAGGGAGACGTAACTACAACTGCCAGTCATTGATGGCAAACATCCTCTTTTTCACCTACAGAGATATCATATGGTTCATGGTTCACTCTGTCCACAGCTCTCATTTCAATAAAACCAGGTGTGGTTTGGATTTATTCTGGCTCGCAGAAAAATCTGATGAATATTGATGACACCAGCACAAACCCAGTTTCTGCAGTAAGAGCCATTTGTGTTCTTTTTAAGAGTTTTGCCTCCACCCAACTTTGCACAAAAATGCAGGTTTGGATGTATTATTTGGATGTATTTTTTTCTAGTTGATTATTTTGGGTATTTTTTTGTATTTTGTATTGTTAATATGACATTTCTTTGTTATTTGCTTGTGCAAATGCATCAGAGTGTGAGTGCCGAGTACAGTACGTGCATACTGTGTCATATCACCACCTCTGATTGACAAAAACCAAAACTTATTCACTTTAACAATGAAAAAGATGAAGAAATATATAAAGATAGTGTATATTCAGATATTTAAGGGAACAGGAATGGAAAATAAAGGCAATAACCAACTAGGAGGGATTCTCTTGTCATTTTGATGAAACAATGTTGACGAATATTAGACCAAAACATGTCATATACATTAAGATAATTTTCTCATGGAGTGTTGGATCTGAAATGTTGTTTTACTGTGTTGATATGATAATGTGCTCCGCTGTATTTATCCTAACCCCAGTGCTTCAAGCATCTTGTTTTTTCAAGATTGTGGGCTCATGTTTAATTGCTTGGAAAACGAAAGAATTTAAATATAAACCTCTCCAATTATTTAAATGTCAGTGAATCCCAAACACCTTGGATTGGGATGAACATTGCTCAGTGTTGTGTTCTTCTAAAAATGTTTTTTTCATTTGAAAATCTTATCTGCCCAAACAAGTGGATGAGAGCCCACACTATGTTAACCCGCAGTAATCATTATACAGCTTTAATTTTACACAAATAATATACAAATATTTTGATGCTGAAAGACTGTAAGGGGTGCGGTGACGACTCGAAGGGGCACACATAGTCACACAACATGATGTACTCTGATATTGAACACTGGGTGTTTTTGTTGAAGAAAACCAGTGGTGTGTGTGATCTAGTTATGTGAGGAAATATGGTTATTGTGTTCCAAAATAAATTATTTTCTCAAAAGAAAACCTGCTTTCTTTCCTCTTTTACTTGCCACTTAGATTCTTTCAAACTCATGAAGCTGTTTAATATCAATATTTATACCTAACACTGCTTATGGGATAAAAGAACATGGACCTTTTAATATGTATAACCGTTGAGCTCTCTTGTCGTGACTGCATTGTAAGCTCTTAGTTAGTTTGTGAAAGTGACGGCCTCCACATAATTTAAATACCTTTTTAGACTGTTTCTAGATGATCTAAAGGTCAGGCTGGGTGAAAATGCTACTTTGAGATTACAGCCTTGGCTTTCTTATCTCTCTCATCTTGCTATATTTGAGGAACTTTCAGGGAGGAACTTTGGAGTAAATTATGTGTTTCAGTCTGGCAGATTCATTGTAACACTGGTTAACCCTGAAAACTGCACCATCATCTGGAGCCGAGGTAGGAAGTAAAGTACCGGTAGTTACTCAAGTATTGTAACTACAGTTTTGAGGTGGTACTGTAGTTGAGCATTTACATTTATTTTTTTTTTTTTAACTTTGTAGTTCTACTTCGCTACATTACATTCACTACATATATTTCGTTACTAGTTACCTTACCGATTAAAGCTATTATTAGAAAATATTCTCAACATATTATATTTATAATAGAATAGTTAGTTACATAAGATACACAGCTGGATATAAATTCATTAGAATTAACCCCACCTTTACCTGCAACATTAAAGTCATACATTAATCATTAATTAATCTGTCAGTTTACTTGTATAAAAGTGTTAAATAATTTATGATGAGTTACTTTTACTTTTGGTAAAATCATCTTATTGCTAAAACCTTTCATTTAACTTATTTTCAGGTGATTAAACACTAATGAAAACATACGTATGGATATTATATTATTATATTTCTGCCAATACATCCTCCTAAATGTTAAAACACTGGAGCTTTGAGTACAGTTATTATTAACAAGTACTTGCTTCTTCCACCACCGTTCTGGAGGTTTCCATAGTAACGTAGGTCTGACCCATTTAAACATCTTTTATTAAACAGAACCAACAGAAAATAAACCTGATTTCTTAATTTCTGATTTCTTGGTTTATGTGGAAATCTTGTGTCATCAGGTTAGATGAAATACCAGGAACACAAATAAAAATGACATATATGCATATTAAAACTACGGACACAGCAAAAAAATCTATTTAATTAAAAATGTCTCAATCCAATGCAAATCGCAGAATGGATCTTTGTGGTACATCAGGCATCTGAGTGTCACAACTCAAAACAAGGCTGTTGAGACAAACAACTGTTTCCATGGCAATGCATCAGGAGGCTCCTGCTCCTTAAACATTAATCAAATGCAGGCGTATCCATAATCAGTTTTCCCTCTTCACATCTCTCTAAAATTTACCCCCGACGCTGCGATACACTTCTGTACTCATTCATCTGACAGGACTGTAGGCACAAGGCTGTTGTGTATGTTGTGAAATTAATTTTTAAGGCGAAGAGCTCCAGACAAACCAGACGGACTCATTCTGGATGTGAGCTTCATCGTCACATAATCAACTCCCTCATTTTCCCTCCGCATGTCATGTGACGAGGAATGTCAGCGCTGTAATATAACAAACATTAACCATCAATATTCTCTCTGTAATATCTAAACATCCTTTTTCTTTCCCATTTATATCACCATATATTTGCAAACCATCCCCTGCTCCTAACTCTAGATACTTCTTTTTACTCATATGAGCTGACTGAATAATAATAAAAATGTCAACCTAGCTTCCAAACAGACCACATATTTGATCTGATCATGAAAGAAGCATCTAGGGTGAAGGACACTATAACTCTTTGAAATGGGAGGACTGTTCTTTCAGAGAGCAGTGTCTTCAGAGCCAAAAAGCTTGGTGGCGATGGCCTGGCAGTCAGTAACAGAGGCCTTCCCATCAAAATCTGCAGGCAGGATGTCCGCATCAAATTCTTTGACGTAGTTGTCCAGCTCGTCACCGTGAACAAAGACCTGGGGAAAGTTATGAACTGTATTCAGAGGAGATCACAATCAAAACTGAATGTTGGATTTAGATTATAGCAACTGTCCTCCACCCATACCCTCTCCAGCAGCTTGCTCTTCATGAAGGGTTTGACCACGTTATATGTAGTGGTGAAGTACCAGGGCTGGTGAGTGACATGGACCGCCTTGAAACGTGCAGGGAAAGAGTCCTGAACAAAAAAACAGCAAAAGATTTGAAAATAAAACAATCAGCTCAGAAGGACGCACATCAAAAAATTCCCAGTTTTTAGTTTTGAGTCTGCTCTGACCTGCAGCATGTCCACCATCTTCTTGAGCTCAGCAGGTTTAATTCCTGAGGCATGCTGCATGGTGAAGCCCTTGAAATTCTCAATCAGGACAAAGCCATTAATCTGGGTTTCTTCATTCTCGAGCAACTTCTCCAAGATCACACAGTACGCTCTTAAGATCTGTGACACACACACACACACACAGTATTCACTCAAGTGCTGCACTGAAGTACAATTTTTAGCTACTTTGCCAAAGTATATCTAATAAATGCTACTTCATACTTCAATGCCACTGGGATATATTGTACTTTCTACTCCGCTACATTTATTTGACAGCTTTAATTACTACGTACTTTAATTTTATATGTTTTGTATGTGTACTTAATTCGGGGGGTAATTTGAGGCAAGCAAGTTGCCTCAAGGCATATGCTAAACTTGTCAGGGGCAAATCTAGAGGGGTGGCACTCCTAGAAAATGTCTTGTCACCCCAGTTTGGTGTCAAATGCAGTCAAATTTAAATGCAGTCAAATTTAACTTTTACTTAAATAAGCAAATAAAATAAGTAATATTACACAATAATGTAATGTTTTGAGTTAACATATCTTAATTTGGGGGTTTTCCAAGCATATATTGATGCATGTGATTGTTTCTGATAGAATTTTCATATATCTCTGCCAGACCTTGAAGTCTCCATGCCACTCTCTTGTCACCCCATGAATATGCTTCAAGATCCGTCCCTGAAACTTGTTCATTATTAAAGGTGAAAGGCGGCACATACCCTCATAGGTGTTTTCAGTTATGTTGCTGATTAGACCTACTCTAACCTGTTTGAAGCTCTGCTGGGATTTAGGTGAGGTCATCAAGTACTTATAAGATGAAAAGTTGCAAAATGCCACTTTTTAATCATTTGTTCTGTAATATTTCTAGTGTCAAAGAGGTGCAGCTGTGCTCTGTGAGGTTGCTTTACAGCTACCTCATCGAATGTGATCTCCTCCAGGTCCCAGTTCTCGATGTTGAAGAGCAGGACTACACGGCCGTACTTGTCCCTGCTGGGCAGAACCACAGGGTAACCCGCCTCGATAGTGCTGCGGACTGCCTCAGGGGTCAGGTTCTCAAACAGCTCAGGATACTCCTTCCTGAAGCGCACGTAACCTAGAGGACCCCCAAAACACAAACACACACACGCACACACACACACACACACACACACACACACACACACACACACACACACACACACACACACACTTAAAAAATCAACTGCATTCTCCTATTGGGCACTAATGGTATACAGACCCTTTGTGTATATGAGTGTGTATTGTTGATGTGCCAAACACAATGACACCACTGTCTCAGCGCTGCTTTAAGCCTGTTCATACCGAGGCACCAATTAAACCAGACTGAGTGTATGTGTGCGAGTCCTTTTGCACGTGCATGTGTTTAGTGTTTTACTCCCAAGCAGTAATTAACCCCATGAAACAAGTTCACGTTCTCATCGCATTCTCCTCTCACACTAACAAGATCTGCTTATATATTCATAAATGTTTTCTTGTGTCTTTGTGAAGTCCAAAATATTCAAAACAATCCAAACTAAAGCTATGTTTGTTTGCCCTGACCAAGTGCAGATTGGGTTAGAGGCTGTGGTTACATTTAGAGATATGGTTGAGTTTACATCTAGACTTTAGTTTAGAAGTTAGGATATAAAAATGGGGATGATGGTGACTTTCAAATTTAGCTTGTTGGTTACAGTTTGTTTAATTGTTCATTCATTTTGGGATTTGTAGTGAGGGAGTTTCACACTCAAACAATAAGAAATTCATAAGCATGGTATCAAGAGTGTCAAACCACGCTGCTTTTTAATCTCATCTCCTATCCCAACACAATCAGTTCCCAGGAGAACACTGTGGGTTGAAAACTTGCTGTCCTATTTGAACACAAAGGAGGGCTTTGTCAGGAACATCTAAAAGCCCCCAATTAATGAACACTTGCCTCCCTGTCTCAGTGATGGGCAGGATTCATGCAAACCAGGAGCACAAATGAGGTCTCACCCTCAATTACTGGAACTCTTTGAAAATGTCTGCAGAAACTGAATCAAAGCATATGGAGGCCAAAGAAAAATCACGTTTGAAACAGAAAAATAAAATAGAAATCATTGATATAAAGTTGCATGGACTAATAGAGGGTCTCTTCTTCTACTAACCCTTCATGAGCTCGTGGGCTCTGACAACGTCAAACTTGCGAGCTCTGAGGAAACGCAGCATCAGAGAGTCCGGTTTGTCCCCGAAGCGCTCCAGCACCAGTTTGGCCAGGTCGTCTCCCTCCGCTGCTCTCTCCTTCATCATGGCCCGCAGGTCCTTCAGAGACGACGCCCGCCTCTCATCCGTCTCATTCAGCTCATCCTTCGCCTGGAAGAAACAGAAAACCCACATGCTCTTTTTCAAATGAACAAACACATCAGACCAGACACTGCAGGGACAAAAAAAAAAAACAAGTGTCACACAACAATTTTCTGATTTGAAGTCATCTGTATACGTTGCCATCCAGTTAATATTCTTTACCTTCTGCACAGTGTGGGCAGGGAGTTTCTGGCACGGCCCAAACACAGGCCCATGATCCTTCACTGTCAAATGCTCCAGCTTGGACCTCATTGCCTGCTCCTCCTCTGACACCATACGGTAAGATCCAGTCTGCATAAAGATGAATGTGTTTTTAAAAACCAAAAGATCAAATCGGCTTATGCAGGTTATTATCAAACATCAGATTTCCCTCTAGTTTCTTGGGTATGCAACGCACTAACGAACCAATTAGGTTAACATTTGTCTTTATTGTCACAGTTTTTTGCCACAGTAGCTGCAGTTTCTGAAATAAAATCAGAGTGCTACTATTAGACATGCTTTACTGCTTGAATACTTCAATGGCAGCTCATTATAATGACTTTAAGTTGAGAAGCCACGACCCATCTGAGCCAGAGCAAACCCCCAAACGATGCACACCAGTGAACGCCTGCTTAATCTGCTTCACATGATCACAGAAAGGACTTCTAAAGCCACTTCTTAAAAACAGCTTAAGGATCCATCCCAGAGCCAGCATCCACTGGCACAATAACAGCATTAAGCAGCATCATGCGCTGACAGTCCAACCCTCTAAGGGCTACAACCAGTGAAGTGAGGCCAGACCCTGATGAACTGGCTGAAACGGAGACAAGATGACACTCAAGAGCTTTTTGTTGAATGGTTGGAAAGTATTTACACTTACAGCAGCCATGGTTGCAGCGTCTCACAGCAGCTTCACTAACACTGTGAAGAAAGAAGAATTGGCACAAACAGAACATGAGCACATTAAACCGTAGTGTGAGATGATAAAGTGTGAACCAGTTCTGTCGGATCATCCAGACATTTTGTTGGCTCGTGTCAGTTTGTTAAGAAGAGGCCATGGGATCAAAGATTTTACAAAATCTATACTACACTGATCTACATAAACAGGAGGGTCAGTTATGTCCAAATTGTGTTGAAGATGAAGAGAGGTTTCTTTACTCATCAGTGGAGCAGACATCCTCTTACATAAGAGCCTGATTCAGCACAGTAATACGACGACTACCCTCCCACAAAACTAAATTACTTAATGTAGTTTAATCCTCAAATATTACCATTACATTTGAATCACAGAGCTAAGCATCACTCTTTTGCCTGGTGATATTTGAAAAGCTCAGAAGATTGTTCAACAACAATTATTTCTGTCCTGAAGGTATTTCGTAGAATTTCACAATCCAAGTGGCTAAAAATTACACATATCCTTACCCTTTCTGTAAAACACAAAATAATATCTAGAAATTATTCAGAAATATTGAAATATATACCAGTGTATAATAAAAACTGTGCTAATTGATCATGGATAAATGTACATTTTGCCAACTGTCTTTGTTAGGTTATTAGAGGTTCTGAATATTGTTTATTGACTTTTTTAAACAACCATCCTGGTTTTTCAAAGATCACTGGGTATTTATTTTCTGTGAATTCAGATGGTTACCCCTATGACTTGATTGTAATTAGAGGCACAGACTGGGGATATACCCAAACTAACTACTATCTAAAAACAGACCTATATTTACTGGACATTGTACATTGAAATTACAACCAAATAATAACTAAATAATAATAATTTAGTACCAAATACTGATGCTGATTTAAAGTCCTTTAAGCAATAATCATAACACAGATGCTCTAATGCTCATCTCCAGCTAAAGTATGTGAGTGTGTTAATCCACCTCTTAAATTGACGGATCTATTACATCTGAACACTTACTCACTCACTTACAGAACACAAAAGTCCAATGAACAAAACATTCAATGCATGGACACTAATTTTACACACTCTAAGACACATTACAATCAACAATTGTTGTCCAACATCCAGTGAAAACAAGTATTGCTTATCACACAAGTTATTGACTAGTTTTAATCATCATTTAAACAATCCCATTATCCTTATAGTCATCATTCATCTTTATTTCCTGGTCTATCTAGGGGTCATTTTACCTAAAGAGCCAGGCAGACTTACCTTAAGCAGACAGGATGAGAGGAGTACACAGAGTGGCAGAGGAGACAACAGGAGGAGAGAGGACCAGGAGGGGAGGAGTTACTGAAAACGTCACTGGAAGTAGGATTAAAATGACACAGAGGATTACAATGAGTGGCTAATCTACATAGTGCTAACTACAAAGTGAAGGGAGAGCTGAGAGTCGTGCTGCTCTGGACTGTCACTGTCACTCTGGTGGTCCTGAGGGGAAAAACACTGGATGAAACACATTATTAGAACACATTAAAAACACTGTAGTGCTGTTACTGCCTGAGAGCGTTCAGACTCTTGGCGAGGAGTGAGGAAAACTGAGGGGTAATTTTGATAAGTTCAACAGGTTTTATGGACAGATCAGAGGGCATTTCCCCCACCTTTTAGCCCTGTTTGCCTGTCCGTGAAAAGTTCAAATTTGGCTTACCAAAATCCCAGGCCCCACCCATTCCTCCTACCGTCCCCACATTACCACAGCCTCTATTCAGTCAGGTTGCGGAGAACATGAAGGCCCGGCTGTAAGACATGCGAGAGGGCGAGAAAACTGAGAGGAAATGGTAAATTCAACAGGTTTTGTGGAAAATGCAATGACATTTATGAAAACACAACAGAATTAGAAAAAAATGTTGTGTGTTACACCTCTGGGCCACTGTACTGTGGACTGGTCATTTTCATAACACAAGATTTTACTTTGAAAATAAGCAAATATAACTGCATCTCAAAGAGAAAGTAAAGAATGAGATGATATGTAATGTTTGTAAATGTATGTTTTTTTCATTCATGCACAGATTGACGCTCCACACACAGTATGTTACGTATTTACCTCTTAAACATCATATTTAATGACACCGGAGAATTTGTAGGTTTTTTCTCACTGCTCTCTCGCACATCCCTGTTTCCTCTGTGACACCATGAAGATTAGCACATGTTAGCCCAACACATGTGACATGAAAGGTGGGATTTGTGTTTAATACTCCTGCGTGCCTGTGGAAATGTCAGACGAGAGACACAACCACCTGTGAAGGACTCACACTTTCAGCTTCACATTACACATTCTTTGAAATCCTCAGCAGAGGGAACCACTTGTTTTGGCGCCCAGATTATCGATTACTTATCCATGATTGCACAACATCAGAAAACTCACCTCTCCTCTGTCATTAATTACAGTAATTGAAAATCAAATTAGGTTTGCTTTTATATTTTGGAGGTTGGTGTTAGTTTGTTATGTATCTATGTCCATCTTTATTGCCTCCATCTTTGTTCCTTACAGAAATACATTTTTAGCCATGCTAATGCCATTAGCACTGAATCATTGAAAGCTTTCATCAACTCCTGGATAGATGGCCATTTTGTACAGACTTCGTCTCATCAGATGGTTGGCATTTGTAGGTTTGAGTGTCTTAAAAACTATTTTACACTACACACATTCATGTCCCCTCTGAATGAATTGTTACAACTTTCATGATGCCCTGATTTTTCGTCTAGTGCAGGTCATCAGGTCAAATTTTGAATGTGTCTTATACTTATTAAGATTAATTATGACCAAATACTTACACATTCACATGCCAATCAGCCTAACTTATACTTTGTGTTTTGTGCTAATTAGCATGCTGACACACTAAACTAAGATGGTGAACATAAAGTGTACCTGCTAAAGATCTGCAAGTTAGTACTAATTGTCATTGTGAGTGTGTTCACATAGTGACATTAGCATTTAGATGAAATAACCATTATACCTCTATATAGCCTCCTGGAGCTGCTAGCATGGTTGTAGTTGTTTCTGTAATAATCCACTAGGATCTGTACTTTTGATTAGTTTAGACATTTTTCCATTCAGACATTTTATTTTTGCACTTTTTACAATCTTCCCTATATTGACAATTCCTGTTTATTCTTCCATACATTAGGAGTCTTGTACTTAAAAATGTATTTGTTTTTGTGCATAGGCTACTCTGTTTTCCATTTTGTGTATCCTATCAAGATGTCTGAAGACTCTCAGTAATAAAGGTTTATCTAGAAATACTGAGTCAAAGGCAACTGGACACTGTTTTATTCGTGAAGATGTTGCCACTCATCCAAAATGTGTCATTCCCATCTGGTCTGACATTTGAAAAAGTCTGACATTTGGGAAATACATCCACTCCCTTGCTGAGAGTTATATTAGGAAATTAAGACACTAGGTCGGCTAAATGTGAAGCTACAGCCAGCAACTGGTTAGATTAGCTTAGAATAAACTCTGCAAACGTGGGAAACAGCTTGCCTGACTGATTCACCTTTCAGCACATCTAAAGCTCACTGTATCTAATTTGTTTAATGCATACACAAAAAACAGCGTATAAGTCATCTTGTAGCAATGAGCTGAGCAGGCAGATTTTGGTCCCATTCTGTATGCTAAGCCAAGCTAAGTCAAAGTGTTGCAATCTCCTACGTCTAGTATTGATCTTCTCATCTAACTCTCGTCATAAAGGTGAATAAGCAGATATCACAAAATAGCAAAACAATTCCTTTGACCTCTTTCAGGCCTTTTCAGGTCTTAGAAGCAGTCAGTAAATCAATAGTCATTCACATTTTCAAAATAATAATTTAGTCTTTTATTGAATGATCAGTACATAATAGATTAAAAAAGACTTCATACTCTGTTTTCAGTCAGTCGTATTAGTGAGGTTGACTACTTCCACTCCAGTGAACCGCTGTTCACCTGTCCTAAATGAAAGGGCACACCACTCTGCCAGGCACCTCACACTATCAGACACCAGCTCATCACAATTATCATAACAACAATAAACAAAATAACACACAGGACATTTCAACACATGATCAGTGTAATTCCTAACCAGGGTTCGAGTTACAATCTGAGCATGTGGGGGTCTCTAGAATAACTAAAGTTAGGGTCGGAGACAAATCAATAACTGCAAGTTTCAATAGTCTGAAATTCTGCCCTTTTTGGTTTCATATGAGTTGGTTCCCATGTAACTTGAACCCTTTTCCTGACAGAAAATACATGATATTTTAACATAATCATGAATAAATAAGGCAAATCTGAAAAAGGGCTAATTAACTAAAATAACCAAAGCTAACTAAGGCAAAGAATACTGAATTTTGCATTAATCAAATAACTGTTTATTTAACTGAAAACTTTTAACCATGGCTTGCATGTTTTTCTCTTCCCTCGTGATATTGTGCACCTCAATAATAAAGCATGCTACTGGCTCATGAAAAAGCAGACCTTGTGTAGGCTTACAACATGATCTGCGTCTTGTCTGAGAGAGGGGAATACAGTTGAGTGCCATCACTGAGCGGATAGAAGAGGTTAATGAGCTGTGGGTGAACAGAGGAAGCGTCCATCCCACATTAAAGCTCGACGCTCCGCTGGGTCTCCGTCCTCCACACACTGAGGCCTCTGTCATCCAGAACTGGCAGACTTACTGTACTCCACTATTGTTCCTCTATCAGCACCTCTCATTAGTGGATGCTCATGAATAACCTCCAATTCCCTCGCAGAGATAAACAGGGGTTAACAATGCCTCCATGTATTATGTCAGACGTGGCCATACAAGTGTTTTTGTCTCTGGTATACGGTTAAGTTCTTTGATGTAAATTAATTCCTGCAGCTATGTCACTCTGCAAACCAACAAATAGGCAGTGGTGGCTACTTTATAGTTTAATCTACAGCAATGCATAGTATTCTATGAGAACCACTCTAAAAGGTCAACTTTTCATGAGCTCAGTCCTGTTTTCAGCTTTGTGACACTGCATTGTCCAGCAATAGAGGGTTTTAAATACTTGATTTAATTCAAGAAGCAGAATATTCTCAACCCATAAAGGAACACTTTATCGAGTAGAGTATAAGAGTAAAAGTAAGTACAACTACCTTGAGAAAATGCATAGAATTTCCTCCCCATGAATCAGACTCTTCTGGTGATTGGATGTAAAACATATTCATGTAATCTATAATTTGGAGGTTTGTCAGAGGGGGAAAGGCCTTTTTAGTAGTGCAGTGGTGTATCCATCAGATACTTTCTAAGTAAAATTAAATTACTTGATTATGAGTTTTTCCACTAGTGTCAGATTACTTCAAGTCTGAAGACAACAAGGACTGATAAAGACTTAAAATCAGATGTTTTTCACAGCAGACTTGTCTCATTTGGGGTGGGATCACAGGTGTTACAAATAACATTATCAAAGCTCTGTTCCCTTTGGTGATCATCATTTTCTTTAATAACACCTCTACTGTCACATGTCAAAATGTCCTGTGTCAAAAAGGCAAATTAAGCGAGGTGGCCAGAGGGCTTTTACAATGTAAAATACTCTCAGGAATTGTTTTATTAATAATCCTAAATCACTGAAGTATATTCCTAGAACTAATATCCCAGTCCTCTAATCCTGCCTCTGTGAAATACAGCCCTCACTGGGATCAATCAGAGGATCAACACTCCCACCTGGTGGCACCTGCAATCTGCTGCCTCATTACCTAAAGGACATTAAATCTCTCACATCAGAGCAGAAACCCAGCGAATAAGGAAAACATTCAGCATCAATTATTGTAATTTAATTTAAGATTTCCTTGGATTAGGATTAGAGGAAAAGGAAATAAAAACCGTAAAATATGGTTCTTCTCTCTAAAAAGGTGCTCTACACTAAGAATAGGCTCACTGGCACCAACAAAAAAGCATTAATCTGTTTTAATAAAGGAGGATCCGCCTACATTTTATCTCCTATGATTGCCTAAAGTGTACTTTTTCTAAAAGAGTAATTTGACTAAACTGCAGTTAAATTCCAAGAATGTCTACATTAAGTATTCAAATATGTATTTTATCTATCATTATTCTATTAACACACCTAACATTACTTACAGACACTTCTGCGAACAACAAACACGTAGGCAGAAAATTCCTTTTTTAATCTTTACTCTGATGGAGTTTACACAACAGACAACAAAGTCACCTCTGATGAGATGAATAATCATAAGGCACAAAATAATGCATGCAAGTATAGCTGCACAAAAGTCAGTTGATGTTTTTGTATCTTACAAATACAAATAACGTTTTGTATGTTACAATACACCGGTGGGACAAAAAGCACATAACAACACTGAATTGAAAGCAGTGGTATTCTTTTTGGGGAACTGTTTCATCATACTACTTTCCGTAGTCTTCATCAGATGACCTTTAATGGGAAAAAAATGAATAATCTGCACAAAACATGAGAAATGCCCCATTTGAAATGGCATTGATTTTTGCAGACATATTTTCCAGTTTTTCATGACAACCAACCCAAACCTTCCAGCTTCCTGCTATTTGTCTGATGAGGAAACAATGTGACAATCACATGACGGACTAAAACAGGAATTGTGACTAAACAGAGAGCTTACAACTACGCATAATTGGATACGCTGACTTTAGCTGTAGGCAGGCTGAAAGCATAGTTGGACTGGGCCTTTTTTGTGCTTTACAACTTTACATGTGTGAACCATGAAAGATAGACTGAATTAATGCACCCAATATGCTGTGCTGCAGTGTTCTACTTGGTTCTTAATGCAGAAACAAGTATGTGTGGTTGTAAAATGCTACCCGGTATCAGTTTGCTGTTATCTTGCACTTCTCTCTGTGCTGATATTTAAAGTGTCTGTATTTGTTAACAATAGAAATAGATAACTAAAAGCACTCTACATAGAGAAGGTTGTTTTAATAAAGTAAATATACAGTAAGAGTCTGGTCTAGTAAGAGGGGACAAACAGAAAGGACTAAACCAGGACAAAGGTCAACATAATGTAAATAATAATGTTCAGGTTGTTTAAATTTGTGGAGATAATCACTGATTCTTTATTAGAAAAGTGCAAACAGAATAAAAACATATCCCACGTATTTTCTCATCATTGTCTTTTTCTTTTTTTTGGCATACAACTTCTTAAGGCATCAGCGAGTCAGTTTACATTTACACTGGACAAATGTAAGAAATGTTGACCAATGATCTGCGATGAAACGTTAAAAGCAGCTTAATGCTGGAATTGCACTAAAATGCTAGTATTTATCAAATAAACCTGGGTCAGTGCAAACACCATTACTAACACAGCCAACCTTCCAGCTGAGCCTGTAGTAAAGTACCATATGAAATACTTCAACCAAAGTGAAGGCACAAACAATGCTTTTTGGAAAGAAGAAGCTTCCCATTTGAATTAGGTTTAGAATAAAATGTAAACATTAAAGATCTGGAGGTAATGATATATGGACATGATTGAATTAATTACAAGGTACCATACATTTAAGGCAACCCTTTGTTTCCAGTGGGTTCCTCAATAGTGTCAAAGGTCAGAGACAGTGGTTGTTTGCAGGTCCAAAGCATGTTTGAAAACAAGACCAGTGATAAATGAGGGGACTCTGATATTCTTTCCCCTGTGCTTCTCTCAGTCATTCAACAAACCTATTGTTGTGTTTCCTCTTTACATAAAATCCTCTTTAAAAGAAATTCTATATACACATATCGTCCGGACTGCTCCTTCATGAAATGTTTTAAAAGTATATTAAAGAAATAAAACACAAATTTGCATGCTCCCTTTGACTCTCAACTTTGAGAGTTGGGTGTAATAGTGCAGCAGTAAACCCACTTCTTCTTTTTAAATGAAGACAGTTTGTCTTTCTGTACAAAAAGTCACCCAAAAAACTTGTGGGAGCCGCAGTAGTACTTGGCACAAAGCATCCCGGTCACGTTCACGACAGATATGCCAACTGAAATTACGACTTCTCTCAGTCTCAGTCCAAAAATGTCAGAGCTGCCATGACGCTGAAGCCCAGCAGGATGAAGAGCACCTTCAGAAGCTGCTTCCCGGGGGAGTTGAGCTCATGCGGGAGGATCTCGAGAAAGGTGATGTAAATAAACGTCCCTGCAGCGAGCCCCTCCAGGACGGCCTGGATCAGTGGTCCAGCTGCAAGCTGAGCCTCCATCACGCTGATACCGATGGCGATGCCAATAGGTGACATCAAGGCGAAAACTCCGATGTAAGTGGCCACCCACAATGGACGAACTGCGCTCTGGACCAGCTTCACAGACAGGCTGAACACTATGATGCTCTTGTGGACAAGTATAGCGATGCAGATTTCTAATACCTGGAGAAAACGAAGACATTTTATGGTCATTTCCTCCGTTAATAGCTTTCATATAATGGCTGAGAAACATCCGAACAATAGTAAATGTTGATGACTCTGTATGTAAAGGTTGGGTTGAATTTTAGTTGGTAAACAGGATTGGGCAATAACACAATAACAACAACTACCATGATAGCTATGTGTTCTCTGGAAATATTAGATCATTGTGGAGAATGTTGTAAAACAAAAAGCTGTTCTGCTTTGTGGCTAAATCAGATTTTCCTTCAAGTTTTTATCAATAAAGTACCCGGATATTTCAGGTGTTCAATTTGCTCATTCAATTTAATGTGTGATTACTTTATGCATTAACTGTTTGTACCTGCTCTCATTTAATTTCCCAGAAAATGCACAATATTATAACAAATCAATATAAAAATATAAAATAACAACCTCAAATATAAGAATATCTGCAATATAAGATTTATCCATATCTGAACTGATCTGTAACTGATTAACAACTGGCTTCAGAATAAATCGTAAACTTCATCAGTCTGTTAGACGTCTGTCTGCAGGGCGCTCTGTTGCACCTGTAACCACATCCTCCATTCTCAGGACTCTTCTGCATCACTGTGGCTAGGTGAGAACCTCAGCTCCCCTTTCATTCAGTAGACTCAGGTCAACTAAAAGAACATTTTGATCCATAGCATGATATATATACGCAGAATAGGAACAAATATGATTTTAAATCCTAGTGTTGTTTTCCTTCAGTGATGTGATGTTTTACTATTCTATTTATAATTCATTTTTCTTTTGTTCTTTTTGGCATCTTCTTGTATTGTAATTGAAAAGTGTAGTTACAAATATTTTTATGTTCTTGAAAATGCCATCTCGTTGCAAAATGATTCATTTAGTTAAATAAAGTTTGTATATATATCTTATATTTTAATCTATTAATTAACTGTTCAATGTCTATTTTTCTGAATAGTGAAGTCAATTTCCCACACAAACAACACACAGTTACATGTAGAAGAAAGGTCCTGTGTTAATACTCATACTATGCCGTCTTGTGACCAGAAGACACTGATCAGACTCATGACAGCGAGATTCATTTCCTGTCAAAGCGTCCTGAAGCTATAAACTGAAACATTCTTCTCGCTATATGAGCGTGCTGTGAATGTGATTCTGGCTTTATTTCTGCAAGACACTCCTAAGACAAATGTTAACAAAGGGTGTGACATGTAATAAAGTGAGAAGAACCAGATAGGTCAGTTTTAATGAGAATATGATTATGTGTGGGAGAAAAAGAAAGCGAAGAAATGTTTTATATTCTGTGGAACTTCGAGTGGATTTAAAGGTCCCATGTAGAGTTTGAGATCTCTAAAAGCACTATGGTTGATGCAGGTCCCTGGTTTTATATACAAGGAAACTCCACAGGACCCTTTTAACACCTTCTTACCTTTGAGTCAGTGCTCTGCAGGCCGATAGCGAGACCCTCAAAAACCGAGTGGAGCGAGAGCGAGAGGAAGAGCATGAAGGAACGAAAGGGGGAGTGAGCCTGAAAGTCAACGTGGATGTGGTGGCCGCTGCTCTCCAGATCAGGGGTCGTTCCATGGCCGTGCCCCTGCCCATTCCTGTTGTCCGGTATAAGGGGTGCCCTCTCCTCCTGAGCCCCTCCCATCTCCCGACAGTTTAGAACGATCCTCTCCAGTATGAGGACCATGAAGAAGCCGGCAGCCATGATGAACTCTGGAAGAGGGAAACTGGTCTGTTTGAGACCAACGCAGAGAGATGAATCAGTTTGTAGGCTCGGGCTGAAAAGGTCAAGAACTATGGAACAGAGATTTCCTAAACAGACAACAGCACCGTGTGTCTATAAAGACCCTCAGTCAACAAGAGCAGGATATCTAGAGGTGTATTCATTGATACATTATTTTATTTTAGTTCTGGTCCAGTTCCTGTTTACACTGAGGTTTTACAAACAAACCAAGAGAAGTAAACATGAAGTTATACAAACAGGAAACTGGTTAACTGGAAAGTTTTGGGGATTGACCCACATCTCTAATGCCTCTGATGTTTATATTTATGCTCTGTATGAAGAAATAACTGATTATAAGCCTTACAGGATTGCAAATTGACTGCATGGCCCCGAGTCTGTCCAAATCAGCCCATAGTCGGACATACCTCCACCTTCCGAGCTTCCAGCTCGGCTTTGATGTCCGACAGGTAATCTGGAATGATGTCGAGCAAACATGCTGCCAGGAAAACCCCACCGGCAAAACAGCTGATCAGACTCAACACTGTGCGATGGGTTTCTGCAAATGAAAAATTAAACATCTCCAGTGTTTCACCATGATCTTATACACAATGGTAAGATTGCTACAGACAAAATGCCATAAACTGCAGAGTAAAGAAAGCATATTTTTCCTCTTTTAATGACTTTACACTTTCAATTTTGTTATTATCACTTGTCTATGAATGAAGGATTGATGCTTGCCACTCCTTCCAAAGTTAGTAGTATCATGTGACACATCATGAGTATGAAAGTACAGAAATTAAAATAACTCAGCACATTACAACACAGTATGTAATGTAGAGAAATGATACTTTCACTTCCATTTAAGAAAGCCAAAGTCTACCAGCCTCGTTTTGCATGTTCATACATAAAATCAGATGTGACCATTAGCTCAGAAGGTTTAGGCTTCATCCCTGTCAGGTGACTCCAGCCCAGGGGGTTATTAATGGTAGTAAGGACATTAAAGATTAAAGTTGAGTTAAAAGACAGTATTAATGTAATGTAAACAATTTCAAATCACCACAATGCCATATGTACATAATACTAATAAAATACAACATTAAAAACATTTCCAGGAAGCATTATTAGTTCTCTCTCGTTATGGTGGTTGTGTGATATATGTCCCAAGGTTTGAAAACCACTTTACCACCACTCTGGTATCACTTCGTTAATGGTTTCTAGGTCACAGTTGATACAATCAATAGCATTTAATTGCTTTTAAAACACTATCTACTGCAAAACATGTGATTCGTGTTCAGACAGGCGGCTGGTGAACCCCACTATCTAAGACCCTGTGCCTTCCGCTAACCGTACACCAAACCTCGTTTAAACTTCTGGCAATTTAAGAATTCACTCTTTATTTGTAAGTCATAACACATCATAGAATATAAACGAAAAGTGCACATGAATCAGCAAACTTCCTTTTTTAATTCGGCATCGGAGTAATACAGCAACAAATAACGTTAATTAAATAAAACAAGGTTTGCTTGTAATAATCCACATTATTTAGCTGAGATTTATGTAGGCTATTTTAACGACTATCAACACAAACGTTAACATCTGCTAATATATATATATATATATATATATATATATATATATATATATATATATATATATATATATAATCATATATAAACGTGTACCAACCTGTCCCGTTGGTGTCTCTGAACCATTTGATTCGAGCAGGGATGAATCCAAAAAACAGAGTTAAGAGCAATAAACCGACCAGAGCACCTATTTTAACCTGGAGCAGATAATCCATCCTGGGGCATAAAGAGAGAGAGAGAGCTGCCTTTTCACTCTCCTATCGTTTATTATTTCAGCTATGAAGCGAGCCCAAGCTTCACCGACACGAAGTCAGGAGTCTCTCTGATAGACATCAGCCAACCTAATGTTGTTATTTAGAAAGTGACAGCGC